AATTGGTTAAGGTGCCCGTGGTACTGTATCTATGGATTTTGCAAAGTACTCTTTAAAATGTTTCTTTTGTTGGTGCCATTATCCAAGGGACCTAAAATGAACTCAAATTTTATTATAATTCACCTTACTTGAGCTCTATGTATGAGTTTCTATATTCAGAAATGGTCCCTACTCCCTGTCTACATCACACACAGTGTTAAAGGCGAGATAAAAGTGGAGCACTTAAGAGTGAATAATCGGCTCTACAGTACAGTCAAGGAACCACCGCTCTGCTTTAAAGGCTCTGGAGGCTGTAGAGCATCACCGGCACAACAGGAGTCAACAAAGTCCTACTCCAGCAGGAGGAAAAAAATTGTAATAGGATGCATAAACAATATGCTGTGGTTTTAGAGGCAAAATTAGACAAATATTCTCCAGGGCTTTCAAAGCAGGCGTGAACGATGCTACGCCAGGGCAGTAGCCACCAGCCTGCAGAGCTTGTTCTCATGCCATGGCTGCACTGGGGTGGCAGGGAGGCTGCTGTGGTTGGGGGGAGCCACCGAGGATGGCGGGATCACTGCCTGCCCTTCTGCACTGTCAGGCCAATGATAGTTTGATATTGGTGTTGAATCTCCATCAATGAGTGCAGCTTTCACTGAAGTGTCATAACGGTATCAGAGAAGGTAGGTGGCAAAAGCCCACTGACATTCATCTATGGGTGCAGGACAGAGGTTCTAGCAAATGCTGAAGAACAGAGTGTTGCTGTTATGGTTTGCTGAGCTCCAAGGATAAGACTGGAAGAGCCTCGTGACAGCATTAGCCAGGCAGTGGAAACCCAGAATCCTCAGCAGCTGGCACTGATTTAGAAAACGGAGAGACAAAATTGCATTTTTTCCTGGCATTTGTGGAAGCCACGAGTTTGGAAGAGGAATGTGAGCAAATACAAATGCCTGACATATTTATGTTGGAAGGAATTTTAGCTAAAGAATAGGACTAGGAGCAAAACTGCCATGGCCTTCCATAGAAGGAAAGACTATCCTTCATATCAGTGGAATTTGGGTGATGGAAAGCCAGGTACAAAGCAGTTGAGAACTGTGTGCGTATGCATTATATTTGCAGATAATTTTACCTGTGCAGAGTGGACTGAGCATCATTCGAAGGAGCCCTGCACCTCCAGATGCAGTGATGGAATCCAAGGTGTGTATTTCCTCTCTCTGAGCATTTCTGGGGAAATTTTGACTCTGCTGAGGACAATGACAGCATAATTTCCAGGGGTTTGGTGGTGAGACCCCAAACTCACATTCTGTCGTGTGGCATGGACTTACCAGCTTGGGGCTTGGCACACATTAGCCTTGCTACTCCAGGGTTATGCTAAAGCTATTACATGCTGATTCCTTGCAATGTCTGTTGGCTCAGCCACACCAATGCTGTGATAAATCCCAGGAGAGGCTGGTGTGCTGCTGACCGGGTATCTGCTCCATGCTCTCTGGTCCTTCCTGTGCAGGAAGTGTGGGCACATGGAGCCGCGGCCAGGCTGTAACGAACAAATGCACTATTTCTGAAGCAGCTCTTCTTTTTGCCCAAAGGCAGCACATGATGCCCTCCTATGCTCTCTGAGCTGAATATTTTCGTGGTTGTAGATTTGCCTGTTCTGTGGAAAAGACGGTGTTTTTATCTTCCTTCATTTTATGTAGTGGGCATCATCCAGCAGTAATGAAATTCCCATCTGGAATCATAATAGCCTAAGTCCATAAATCCAGATCCAAACATCCCGATTGTTTTGCAGTTTCTGAGTGCTCCCAAAGCCACACCCACTGGTAATTCCTGGCATTTCAAACTCAGTATTTTAAACATCTTGTATTTTCCATTTTGATTCCAGTCAGGGGGAACTGATGTATGGCAGCTGATGAGATGACAGCTTGGTTTAAGTTATTGGCTGATGTCTTTATTTGCGCACCAGCCTTGTAAAGATATTTTGATTGCACTCCTCTTGAGCCAAATCCTGCCTTTGGAAACTTGTTCTTAGCCTCCATGCCTTCCTGGAGCTCGCTGAGCCTGAGGGCAGGATTGGGCCCTGGGAGTGACATAACTGAGAGACTTAACCAGTCGTCTTCTAAGAGGTTGTGCCTCACCCACCTCCCATGGGACACTGGGTCAGGGAATACCATACCTCACTCTCATGGAAGTGGAGTGGGGTCAGTGCATCGCCCAAAACCACAGCCCTTCTGCTCCATTGTCTTGCATCTTGGTGCTCCTATTGAGACTTAAATCTGTGGGGATAAGGGTGCTTTTCAGCTTGAATTACTCATACCTCTTGTATTAAATAATGGGCCAAGAAGACATGGATCCCCATTTGTGCTCCCACCTCATTCTCAAAGGCAGAGTCCTTCATAGCTGTCACGTTACTGAGCTTTGCACCTTATTGTGCAATGTACATATGTTTTCTCTTTCAGAAAGAAGTGGTGAGGGATGATGTCTTCTGGGGTTATAACAGGTGCCGCATCCTTGACCGGCTGCGTTTGGATGGCAAGGTGGCCTACGTCACAGGCGGAGGGCAGGGAATTGGGAGAGCCTTTGCTCATGCGCTGGGGGAAGCTGGTGCTAAAGTAGCTGTGGTGGACCTGGTCCTCGCAAAGGCAGAAGCAGTGGTGTGTGAACTCAGCCTCAAAGGTAAGCACAGGACTGACCTGCAGGTCCTGCTGTACACAAACCAGCGATGAGTGCTGTAACAGGCCGATTTCCTTGTTCAAACCCGACCCTTTCTCTGAGGTGCTGTTCTCTTTCATCCAGCCCTGGTGTTCCTCAGAGAAGGTCATACAGCAGCCAAGGCACCTCAGTCTTCATTAAGGATGGATGACAGACATGGCCTATGAACTCGTTAGCATGTACTCCCTCCCTGGCACCTCTTCCATACCTAATGTCTGGATCATGAGCCAAAACACCCAAACAGGGTAGAGGCATTGTCAGCCTAAATCTCTCATTCTACCCTCAAACTGAAGCAAAGTAATTTTTGAAACCCTCAGCTGTAGTTCTTTCAAATATGCAAGATCAGATATAGGAATGAAATACTAATAGACATGATAACTAAAATCCCAAATAAGAGGTAAAATCCTCTTCAAGACACTTCTATTTTAGCAGTAAAAAACAGAAAATGTAACATAAAATTGAATTTCCCTCTGGAGTCATGCTAACTGCAATTGTAAAGGTGAAAAAGAAAACTGGAAATATAATTTTAATGAGAAAAGAAAGGAAGTGTTACTCATTTTATAATTCCTTTTGTGAGATTACAACTGAGCCTTCTTCGGGGTTCTGTACTTCTCTAAAGACAGAGAAATTTTCACCCAGGAAATTTTCGCTTTCCCATTTGGATGAAGTCACCAGTGTTTGTTTCCACTCTGTCTTCAGAAAGGGATTGGGCCATTGGAAACAATATTGTCCAGCAAAAGCAGCTCTATTTCTATCACCCAGTCTCAATCAACTTCCTGAGGAAGCAGTGAGGAATGGTTCAGTTCTGGTTTTGGTACCATCCTGAGCCTCCACAGAGAACATCTTAAACAAAAAGTGCCAGTCTGTACGATCCCGGCTCTAGTACGCATGAGACAGTTATACACTGAGTGTCGGTGTACTGGTTAAAGCTTTGATTGCTGGTCCGATCCCAAATAATGACCTGGAATAGAAAGTGTCCAGCTCCTATTACAAATTCTTGAGTCATCCAGTCCCTCCTTCCCTGAAGCTTTTCATTTTCTTATGCACCGAAGCCATATGGTCTTAGCATAAAGTAGCTGTGCCCTCCACGTTAACGTGCCTTTTGGACATTTTTTCACGGTGAGATCCTGCATATCAAGTAGAGCTGTTCAGATAGAAATGGGCTACTTGATAGAGCCATGGGACTTTGGATGCCAACAGCCTATTTGAAAACTAACTTAACTTTTCTCCAGGGCATTTTCAGTAGGAGTTTGATCATCCAGCCTTCAATGGCTGCCCTATATCTCTGCTCCTTCACCGATGGGCTGCGAGCCCGGAGGAGGTAGGGAGTGTGTTACAAAATGCAGTCGGAGAGGTCACAAGGCATAGCAAATATTATTGCAGTCTAAGGTAAAGAAAATTTCGCTTCACAGTCTTTACACATCTTTATCCTTTGAGGTCAAATATTCTCTATCAACTTGACCAGTGCAGCTGGTCAGGGCACATCTATTCCATCTCATGACGGTTTTTGAGGTTTCGAAGTTATTGTCGTTCCTTGTTGGAACAAACCCCAAACTTTGTAATTCTTTTGTGAAAGGGAATTATATCCAAATGCCCATTTTTGGAAAGGATCTGAAAAGGTCAGGTTTTCAATCTCTTTCTCTCCAGAGGTAACTAGAGAGTCTAGCCTGGACCTCAGAAGCTTTTCCTTGAAAACTTTTGTTGAAATCAATATGTTTCCATGAAATATTTTGGCTTCAAAGAAGTAACACACTCTGTTGGAAATAAATTTTGACAAAAAGGTTCAGCTAGCTTTACTCTCAAAATATTCACGTGACTAAATTGAAGCAATTGTCACTTTAATACGTATTTTTCCTGCTATAATAAGCATAAAGGAGCTGTGATTTTTTTTTTCCCCCTTTTTGGTTGTGGATCTCTAACTCAAAGTTGGAAATGCTTTCCCCCAAGTCATTCCTGTACAGATACTTTTTCAAAACATTTTGCTTAGCTTTCTTAAACCCACTTTACTTCTTATACCAAGGAGCCCTTTGCTGTCTTTTGGGATGGTGCCATCATTTCATGATGAGTTTTAAACATCAGAACCTCTGTGATCTCAGTTTTAGCTTTGTTAGACAGCTCGGGTCTATCTCCCTTGGCTACAGGGGTCTTTGTTTTTAGATCCTGCGTGAATACCTTTTTCAACAGTTGCTAATGGATCCTGACAGAAGAACCAAAAATGATGAAACATAACCAAAAAATCCTAAGGGTTACCTTCCACTACATACCCCTCTGTCTTCAGGGGGAATCACTGCCTGTACCTTAAGGGGAGAATTAGTCTGATGGGATTTTTAAAATGTGCATTTTCACTGTAAACTATGCAAATGCCTTCCCCACAATGTCACTTCTGATCTTCTTGTCTATCTCCAATCTATTACTCCAGCTTATACTGATAGACCAGAGATGAAGCCCATGGCGGGGGTGGGAGGCTGCGTACACGTCCCCTGCTCGGGCAGATTCGGCACATCGATGCCTCTCCAGCACAGAGCCACTGCACTCCTCTCCCGCCCCTCTCAGCACAAAACTAAACTGAGGGCTGTAGAGATGCATTGGGACTGTCATGCACGTATCAGCGCGGTCATGTCTTGGGTTTCCTACCTTTGGTTAGGACTACTGATTTCAACTTATTTTTCCATGGTTTATATTATATTTTTTACTTATTTTTAACAGAGGGTTTGGGGGGACAGTGGAGAGGCAGAGAGTGTTTATATTTTTCCTCTCTCCGAGTGCAGGGACATCAACTGAATTGATTAAGGTCAAGTGTGGGACTCTGGTTTGAAGTGAGTGTGCCTTCGCTGCTTCTTCGCTAGACACTCACGCGTGGCACCTTTTGTCTTGTTTTTATGAACTGTTGTATAAGATGAAGCCATAAATGGGGTGAGAGTTGGAGGGCAGGTGAAGAGCCTCATTCTGTTACCATTAGTAACACGCTTGCACCCATTTTGTCTGTAAATTGAATAAGAAAGATCGCAGCAGCTCCCTCTGAGTTACGTGTCTTGATAACAATTAGGAGGAGCAACGGGGGCTGTCTGGCTCTTCTTATTCTTTCAGCGTATTTAGCATAAAACCTGCAATAAAACAAGAGGTCTTGTTTTGTGGCAGAATGGGCATTCATTTTTGTAGGTGGCTGCATTTTGGGTCTGCCCCTTTCTCTGCCGTGGAAACCAAGGGGACCGTGGCATAGCCGAAGGCCAGGGGGGACATTAGCTCTCATGGCCCAACGTGGGGAGCTCCCCCAGACCAGCATCACCCAGCATGTGTGCTCGTGGCAGGCTCCTGGAGGCGCTGGAGATCAATTTTCCAGCCAAAAGCCTCTTTCCTCTCATTTTCTTCAAACAACACTGGGCAGTTATTGCTTTGCCGTGCTTTCATGGAAGCATCCTTCTCAAAGCTTCATTTTGGGAGAGTCTTCTCCTATTCTTCTAGCAGAGTTTTAAGGCTTCCTTTATATTTTTTTATTAGAGTGTTCTAAAAGAGGGACCAATGGGCAATAAATTTTCCATTTAAAGAGAAGGAAAACGTCTTGTTTTTAACAGCTGTAACTTCCTACCCGTGCACTGTTTGCTTGCAGACCACTGGTCTGCAGTCCAGCCACAGTGGCTTCCCCCCCTCCTTGTGAGTTAAGACCCGTTTCACCACAGCCCTTACTGGTGTAGCCTTGTTTGGCTTTCAGGATGGGTATAATCCCATTGGCATCAGGTGCCTCAGCAGGCTGCTTGTTTTGCTTAATAATAAGGGTGTTTAAAGTCGATTTTGATAGTAAATTAAATGATGCTACTTATGGATCAGCAGTAGTGCAAAAGTCAATGCCAGGATTTTTCTAGGAAAAAAAGCGCAACTTTTGTATGTTTCAAATCCAGTAAATCTCTTAACTTTTGAGTGTTTGTGTCATTCTGGCAGTGTGATTTGCAATAAATAAGGCCACCATGACTACCATACCTGGGAACCTGCAGGTGCTCCCAGATAGCTCCTACCTAAAACTGGTTTGTTTTTGTCTGGGGCTTCCAGCTGTCTGGATGCTGTAGTTCATCCAGAGAGCACTTTTTGGACAAACTGGTTTGATTTCTGCAGCACCTTGGGAGGACTTGGCATAAAAAAAATATCTACATTTGAGCAAATGAAAGGGTCCTTTGCTTTTTCTTGTTCCTGAGCTGATCCCATCCACCCTCGAGTGATGCTCTCTGTGATGCTCTGGGAGGGGGAAGCTGCAGTTGAGGGTTTGGACAGAAGATGGTGCAGTGTTCAAAGCTTCGGCTAGTGGAGCGGCAGACTCCCCTCTCCTGCCTCGGATTTGTGTTTGTCTCCGACAAGCAAACCTCGCACGAGTTAGCAACTTTATAATAATGGTGTTACAATAACAAACACGTTTTGCTACAATTTGTGGAGCAAGGAATTAAGGTGGCGTATATATATGTGTATTATAAATACTCATAAATTAGATATTTTTCTTTCTGTATGAGTTCCTGTACTGACTCCATCATCCTTATTTTAACTCAGGGATTAAAAGCATCGCCCTCGCAGCAGATGTAAGCAAACCCGAGGATGTGCAAAGGACTGTGGATACAATCGTGGCTCGCTGGGGCACAGTCCACATTGCATGCAACAATGCGGGAATCAATATGAACTCTGCAAGCGAAGATACTTCCCTCGAAGAATGGGACAAAACTTTTAATGTTAATCTACGAGGATTATTTTTGTGCTGCCAAGTAAGCGCGAAATGCTGGACTGGTTTGTTTTGCAAATGGGTAATAATTTTCTAAGCATTAAATTTACCAAGGTTTAATAACACTTTATTACTAATTATCACAATAAAGTCGATTCTAGTTGTGATGGACATAAAGAAAGATTTGCTTTATACCAATTACAGATTTTGGATAATATTTTCAAAAGGAGCTGGGACTTACTGGCTGCCCAAACCCAGACATTTGAGAATGGCTGGATTTTTTTGATGGTGGTTATTTGACACATCCTGATAACCAGAAAGCTTTGGGGGTATATTCCCAACATTAGTGATTATTTGGAAAAAATATTGCCAACAGTGAAGAGGGTCTGAAACGGCAATGGGATTTTTCCTGCATCAGCCATTTTTATACCAAGTTTTTATACCAAGTGCATAAAAAAAAAAAAAGCGTTAGCACATAAACTCTTCTGAAAAGTGAAGACTAATTTATTATCATGTCATTATTAGCACAATCACAAAAAGGGTCACTGGTCTTTCCTTTAATTTCTGTCACAGGCTGCAGGCCGCATTATGCTGAATCAAGGATATGGGAAGATAATTAACACAGCATCTATGGCAAGTTTAATAGGTGAGTGATGAGAGCTAACAGTTGTGCTTCAGAATCCATATTTTAATTACTACCGATGCTATTTGAATCAATTAAACCTGTATTGGGAAGGAGTAAATCACTGACATTTTGTATTAGAGGAAATGTACTACAAAATTTTTATTGATATCATTTTTCAACATTTATCTGTCCTCTATGTTTTAGAGCACTTATTACCTTTTATAGAAGAGGCGGAGTCACCGTCTCCGACTCGGACACACTGATGGTGTGGGAGAGGTGCTGATGCACTCCCCAGTAACTTCAGGCAAACGCGTTTGAGTGGGGGAAGTTCTGCCCCCGTGATGGTTACAAACCACCCAAAAGCTTTTGTGCTGTTTTTTTTTGCCCCAGTACACTCGGGTTTTCTTTCTTTATCGTTGCCAACAGGTGTCTCCACCAACGCTGCTGAATCAGCAGTATCGTCAAAAGCACCAATAAACCATTGTAACATATGGAATGAAATCCCTACTGCTGAGCTAATCTGGAAGGCAGTTACATGCTGGTGAACTGAGGCCCATGTAACAAAAATTGATCAATTACACAAATTAAGCATAGCCCTTTAGGAATTTATTTTATTGGTCTGGACATCTGTTGCAGTATTGTCCAAATCCAAAAATCAAATGGTGCCTTGGGTTGCCAAGTTAGGCAAGAAAATCTAGTAGCTATAAAAGTACAACTGAAAACCCCTGTATTAATATCATGTCCATCTGCTGAATGTTACATAAATATGCAGTCTTTTTATTTTCCTTGGGAATAACATTTATTTTTACAGTGCCCAGTTTGACATTCTGTGACATTCTGCTCAGTTTATTGCACAGTAACTTTAAATGCTTCTTCGAAAATGCATTTATAATGTTGTTGTTAATCTTTTTTTCAAGTGTCTTTACCAGCTGTTTTACTTATGCTTAAACACAGGCACCATCCCTCTGCCCCAGCTTTGTAGAGTTACAAAATCTCCCAAAGAGAAATAGTTTTGAAAAAAATGCAGAGCTTTAAATTTCAAATGCCTGAAACTTTCATGCTCTGTGGGGCTCTGGTCTGGGCTTGGGCTGTCACCATCCACGTCATTGTTGCACAGCAAAATTTCCTGGGAGGTATTCCACCCTCGAGAAAGTTATGAAGCTCTGGAAGTTGGCCCCAGCTGGGGGGCTGCGGGTTTGGCACACTGCTGCCGGCCTCGCTCTTGCAGCCCAAAAGTGCTCTCCGTGCTCCCCGCTTCTCCATCGGGTGCTGGCATGACTTTGTTGAGCCAGGAGGTGATGGATTCCACCACAGCATCCCTCTCGGGGCTGCGCCTCCTCAGCTGGCATGCCACCTCCACTGAGACCCACATGGGGGTCGGCTTGGAGGGCAGTATTGGTCCTGGAGCTGGAACAAATCTTGGAAAGCAACCCAGAGAGCAGCCTGGAAGGGTCATTGCAAGATGCGTTTAAATGTCACTGAAAGTTAATGCATACTGGGCCAGAAGTTAAGAGATGAAGAGATGCGTTTACCTTCTGAACCTGTTTGAATCTTGGCATTGAAAAAATCTAGTAGTTATAAAACTACGACTGAAAACCACGATGTTCATATCATGTCCATCTGCTGAATGTTAAATAAATATGTTGGTTGGTTGGTTATTTAAGTATGTTGGCCAACTGGCATAGTATGAAATGTTTCTAGAAATAGTTGGGGGATTTTTTTTTTTTTTTTTTGGGGTAGGTTGAGTCCTTCCTCAGAGACAGAGGAAAATGAGGAGACTCTTAGCAGGATAGGGAGGGTTTTGTTTGTGATTTTTCCAGATACACTGCTCAGAATCAGTTTTAATTAATTGAAGATAAGCTGCATACATTTTGCATATGTGCATTTTGATTCTGGTATTTCACTGGAAGTATTCCAGACGTATGCTTCAGCGGCAGAGACGAGGCTGCTGCGGCTCTGCGCTTTGCACAGGTGTAACTCAGATCTGTAATTTTTACAGTGAATATCTTTAGCGGGAAGTGGTCTGGTCTTCTCTATCTGTGCGCACCTCTCATTAACATTACGTGGCTGCTTCAAGGTCAGGCTAGAAGCCTTATGCACCTAACAAGGCTGCAAGAACATAGTGTCAGGTGTTTAAAATGTAATGCGACTGATGTTGGCAGCATTTTTATCTGCTTTTCTCCCACCTTCTCCGCCTGAACGAGCAGTGAGTGTCCTGGCTTTCCCGAAGCCTTACAAATTCAGATTGTTTTGGTGACGCTGCTGGAGGCATAGCTTTATTCACAAGCTCCAGTGCTGCTTTGTATGAGTTTGGAGGGTTGCAGATTTGCTCTTCTATCTAAAAGAGACCCCTGGAGGCAAGGGGAGAGGAGGTGGTGCGGGATGCTCAGCTGCAGAAAGCCCACCCAGCAGCAGAGCCTCCCAGCGCCCCCTGCCTGCTTCTAGGGCTCTTCCCATTGAGAGGGGCCAAGTGTCTCCGGAGGGGGACATTTCATCTTCTGAATTACCTTCCTTAGCTATTCTCATGAAGGCAAAAGCATTGACATGGAAGGACTCTTGAAAACCCACCCCAAATCGGAACGCGGGCTCTGATAGCTTGCAGCAACTTGCTGTTCTCACCTACGTGCACTAGAGGTGCAGAGCCGGTGCCAAAACTCTCCTCCTCTTAGCAAAAACCGAATGATTTATCACAAACAGACATGTTTGGAAAGTTGAGCAAAGAACTGCTTTTGGGAGGTTACAAGGTTAACTACCGAAGTTGTATGTAACTTGGAGGTGATGCATGGCAATTAATCAAGAAATTACGTTCCGCATCTTTTCGAGAGCCCAGGCGGCGCGCTGCGTCTTGGGGGTGGCAGGCACACGCAGAGCGCAAAGCGGTACTGCTGGTCAAAATGTGAATTATTTCATGTTGAACAAAAAATGAGCGCAGAATAAATGCTGCCCATGGTGTGAAATGCTCTTTGTAGCAAGCAAAAGGCCTCCGAATTCCAAGCAAATCTTCAGCACGTGCAGAAAAAAAGGAGCAGAAATTGTTGCTCCCATCACATGTGTGCTTTAAATCTATTCACAAACATCTATGTTCAAGGCAAAGGTCCTTATTCGCATACACGCTCAGTAATTTGCAGCAGAGCTTTTTGCTCTTTCAGAGTTTGGATAACTCAATTTGTTACCGTCTTCTTTTCACCCTTTAAATTGACACTCTCAAAACCAATCGTTTCAGTCAATAAAGGCAATTGTGGGTATGCTGGGATGCCATGGACGGTAGTGATCTAGAACGGATGCACCAGCATAATTCATAAATTAAGACCAATTTAATGCCATCTACCAGTGCTGCTTCCGTGCTTTTGTCAAAACGCGGTGGGCTTTGCCTGCTGTACCGTACCCGAACACAGCGATTCACTTTCTTCCAGGGCTCAGCGTTCCCTAACCCCGCAGGCTGCAGTTTTGTGGTTACTGGTATTAGCACTGATTTTCCCCGCTCTCCTTCCATGACAGCATCAGCATCTCAGTGATGCTCAGTACCAATACGGTGCTAATTATGGAGCAGTGCTTTGCACTGGATTTGTTTAATGAAGGCACAATGGCAGTCTGAAAAGTCCAAGGAGAGACGCTTTGTGGGTGTAAATCCCAACAGCTGGACCCGCTGGGTTTGACTCCCGTGGGCTTAAAGCACTTTACACCCACTGGGGATTTGTCCTTAAGTAGCTTTCCTGGGAATACTGCAAGTGCGAGAGCTGGTGGAGGGGCAGAGCCACCCGAGCACACGGCACTAACAAGCTTGAACATGGTAATTAGCAAGCCGATCATTTTCCCTCTCTGACTGACATGTGACATCTCTGAAACATTTTCAAAAGCTTCAGATTTTGAAAGTGGTGGGTGTTCTGAATTTTTGGGACGCACCTGTGCTCACATCCACACAAACACTGATGAGATAATATGATGTGTTTGCTTCAGACTATGGGTAATTTAAAAATTAAGGAGAATAATTTGTTCCAAGAAGCTATGTATAATATAATATGTTATATAAAATCTATTGTGCATTATATCATACATAATATTATATTATTTATATACATTTATATAATGTATTTTATACATTATAATATGATGTATGATATAATGCATAATAGATGCAATATTATATTATTACTTTATATTATAGCAAATTGCATTATATCATATATTATATCATAACATATCATTATGCTATACTTTATTTTATTAGTACTACATTGTACAAGTGTTTTGTCTACAAACAGACATACGTGTATAATAGACGAATGTGCCTGTGTGTATATGATTATTTATGTTTCTTGGAAGTAGTCAATTATTACATGTGTGTGTTTAATACATTGGTTTTGGCTTTGCCCAAATATGGACCTTCTAAATTTCTTTATTTCTTTATTTTTTTCTAGCAGCCCAGCTGCTGAGGCAAAAACTTTAGATGGCAAAATACAGATTTAGAGTTTTGTGTAGTGGGTGGCTACATTCTTGTTGCTCTCTGCCTAGTATCAGGCAAAATGGCAAATAGTTCATCTCAATACAAGGAACTGTCCATGTAGCACCTAAGCTATCTTAATTTGTGGAGAGTAAATAATTTTCTACTTCTGAATCCCTTCTAGTGCCGCACCCACAGAAGCAGTTGGCGTACAACGCCTCAAAAGCGGGGGTCGTAAAATTAACACAGACATTAGGAACCGAGTGGATTGACAGAGGAGTAAAAGTCAACTGCATTTCTCCGTAAGTAAAATGCAGTCTCATTTTGAAAGTACAAAGAGAACGAAGTGTTCTAAAAAGCTCAAATGAACAGTATCTCGGCAAATAAAGTTTCTAATTAGCAGGTGGATTGCATCCCTTTTTATGTTGTCTTTTCCTTAACAAAGGTTTAAATACTTAGAACCGAGCCTGCTCTGTTGCTGTGTATACTCAGGGATTTAAGAAGAGGTTTTAGCATTTGATAATAGGTTTTCCAATAACGTGAAGGGTAGTTTTTAGCATTTCTCTCCCAGATGAAATATTTCCTTAGTCTGTCCAAGCCTTCCGCGGTTACAGAAAAGGCTTTTGACACTTAATAGACAATACTTCTTTCCCCCTTTTACTTGAGACAAATATATAGGTGCTTTAAAAGCCACATTGTACTGCTGTAATTGAGATACTGTTCAGCTCTGACAATCACAGGAGGCCAGGTGTAATTTTGTAAATATATATATATATTTATTGCAAATTACGTTTTCCTTATTTTTAGAGGCTTAAAGCTGTATGTTTTATTTTATGGTATTTATTCACAAAGAAAAGTTTTCTTACCGCATGCGCTTTTTCTCTCCCTGTTTCTCATGCACATACCCAACACAGGCATTTTATTAAACAATTAACGGTGCATGATAGTGCTAAGCAGAAACCCAAGTGGATAGCGTTAATTGGAAGTGGTCAAATCCCGTAGACCATTGAAGTCAATCAGAGTAAGTAAGAAGGGCAGGATTTTAACCCAGGAGTTAAATTGTGATAATGAAGATATAATGTACATCAAATTAGGAAAAACAAATTACATATTTTAATCCACCAAGTGGACTTAAAAAAAAAATAAAAATCACAGAGTTCAATGGCATGCGCCTCGGTTTTTACTGTCGGTCTGCTCTGCACTTCCTCGTGCTAGCTGTCTTCCTTACGATTATATATTACTAATTATACCAGTGACTCCAGCCGTCGCTCTGTGTGATCCACAGATTCTTTAAACAGCATCTTACTTTGTAACAGGATTTTTCCCAGGCCAATGCTATCAGCTCTGCGACAGTGCGCTCACAACTAGCGCTAGTGAATTTACACTGGTTTTTGGGAGCCAGGGAAGATGAAGGCAATTAGGGAAGCTCAGCAGGACCTGGCGGGAATTGTGTCTGAAAATACACAGGTAATCTGTACCAACAGAGGTGGGATAGTAGTGCCACATTCCCAGCAATCACAGATAAGGAGGATCTTAGATGAGGAATTACCCATTTCTGGCGGGTTTACATAATTTTTAAAAATATCCCCTGAATGCTCAAAACTCATTGTTCTGCATAAGTTGGAAACGCACTCATATTTGAAGAAGTTATGTTTCTGGAGGCAGTTGTAAGAGCATGGAGTCACGCTTCTTTTTCTACTTTTCAAGCCAAAATGGGGTTGTACCTTGGTCATCCCTACCTGTCTTAAACTCGAGGTCTGAGCTCAAAATCTTATAACGGGTGTGTGTGTGTTGGGGGGGGTTCTTTGTGGAGGAGTAGCCAGAAAGTGGGCACAGAGGACAACCATTTCTGCTGTCTCTAAGATTCCCCGCTCTGGACAGAGCTGTCCCCCCTCACCCAGCGGGGGACCCGGACTGGACGGCCCCGGGAGCCAGGCAGAGCTTTCCCCTTGGCAGCCCAAAGTTTTTGCCGAGTCCCTCATGCCGGGGCCGCCTGGGGAGCTCTGGGTGGCATTCAGAGGAAGGACCCTGCAGCAGTTTGTATAGCTCAGGTCCCTCCTCACCACAAGCAAAAGCCTCATATGCTTGAGAGTGAATAAATATTCATGTTTACCCTTCTGACTACATGAGATGCGAACCTGTGTTCCAGGGCAGATTTGGATTTATCCTTAGAACCGTGAACCCCACTGGTCTTGTTTAGCTGCTTGACATGACGCACTGAGGCACAGGGACATCTTCATCCCGCTTGAGCTTAGTACCCAACACCAGGCACTACCCTCAATGCAGCAGCGCATCTGTCTATGCCGGCGGAGTATTTTACAGGGTTGAAAATTGTCCCATGTGCACAAGTCTTTCTGAGCACGGATGTCCAACCGAGCACTGTACGGTAGGCATCGTACAACAGGAGTGGATTTTGAGGGGTGTGAGGAGCACAGAGGTAGAAATAGGGTGTGATGGTACCCAAGATAATCTCTAGATAAGTAAAATATTTAATTGTGTCCTTAAGTCCTTTGCCCTTCCCACTTGTGGTTGCATTAATGCTTTAAGGCCCTCTCAGCATACCTCTGTCTGAAGCTCCCAACACTCCTGTCTGGCCTTAAATATTATTTCACCATGTAAACCTTTTGGCCTTTTTTCCCTCTTCCTATCTGGTCACTTTTTATCAACTTAATTTCTTAATGAGTGCATAAAACTTATGCAGAGCAACGCATAAAAGTTATCAACGCATAAAATGTTACAGCAGCCTCCTTAGGATAATTTATTACATTTATAAAATTGACGATTCAGGCTTCTCTTGCTGGCCAGGCAAGCCCCGTGCCCGTGGGGAGAAGGTGGCCAAGACTCCCTGGATGCTTTGGCTGACTTTGCCTGTTGCTCTGTGCAGCGGCTCCGTGTGTCATGGAAACTGTGCTCGGCCCTTCTGCCACCATCTAGTGCAGTTGCCTCATAGCCCACCGCACAGCTGATGTTGTGCAAAATTAAAAAGGTGCTGGAATCTTCCTGAAAGGGACATGGGGTCGGGCTGAAGAGGGGACCCGGGTGTGAACAGAGACCTTGACAGAGCACCGACGGGCAGGTAATGCCTGGCTGCCCACAGGGTGTTTTAGTCCCTTTCCTGGTCCCTGCACATGTGAAGTGTGTTGGGTGTGATGGAGCAGAGGACTTCTGAGGGCCTCTGGGTTTTGGCACGGGCAGAATTGGAACACTTCATTTTTGCAGCCATTGTGGCAAATCAGTGTTGATTTCTGGGCTAATTGTGTCTCTCTGCTTGATTTGCACGGCATAAAATGTCATCGTGTGATGACCTTTGGGATGGGCAAAGCTGATGATGATGATCAACTTTTGGAAGTTGATTTTCAGCTCAACCCACAGCTGCAGCCAGGCCAGGTTATCGGAGACCCAGTGAAACTCAGCAGTCCCAGGGGATGAACCATGTTGCCCACTGCTGGGCTGCAGGGATTTGGGTTTGTGCTGCGATAGGCAGGGAGGCTTCATTGCCTGCATGCCTGCCTTGCTCCCGTGGGACAGTACGGAGGGCCCACAGGGTGCTGTACCAGCTTTTAACTCGGTGGGTATGAGGAGTCAGAAAGCAGGTAGGGAGGGATCACCACCAATTTTGGGTGTACCCCATCATGGGGGAAGGAGAGGCAGAGCTGGCAGGAGAAGGAGCACCCCAGCATCACCTGAAGGTGTCCCAATTAAGTAGCATTACTATCCCCATTAAGCAGCAGTCGTTGCTGGTGAGTATCTTTGGACTTAAATCTAATTCCTTGGGAGATGTCCCAATTAAGTGCATCTCTTGATTAAACACTTCCTGATTAAGTGGAGTGTACTTAACTCATTCAAATTAATAACTCATCTGAAAGAAATCAAGTTACACACAGATGGAATCTTTTTTTGCTCTCATTTGGGGATTGAGCGCACGTAACAATTCCAGTTAAGTATCTGGTAAGTGATATTTTTCCTAATGTGTCTCTCTCGAAGTGGAAATGTTTTAGGCAATTGTTGGTTTTTTTTTTTTTTTTTTTCCTAATGTCTCAAATTGTCCTGTGTATCAATAATGAAATATTGATGCTCATGTCTAACGTTAAGGAACCAGCAGTTTGATATTACATTGACATGCAACAGAAAGTACTGATAGGCTCAGCACTGCATACAAGATGAGGTAGGGAATTAATGCATTGGCAGTTGTCTTTGCTGGAACTGGTTAGAAGCCAACTAAAATCTGCCTAAAAGGGTTCGACAACATTAAATTGCCCAACTTGGCACCAAAGCTTTCCCAGAAGATGTGTAGTATCAATGACATGCCTAATATTTATAGTGCCATCAGTATGTGTGTTTGCAACTTTTAAGTTTTGCGCTATATTTTTTTCTCATTTCTATAACAAAAATTTGTAATGAAGTTTTGTTACATGTCTAAATTTTTGCTACTTGAAGGGAACCTAAAGAAAGGTCCGGCGAGAGCCACAGCGCTGTGATTTACAGGTTGCAGCGATCAGACCAAAGATCATTTTTCCGAACAGATTGAAAAATGTCCTCTTTCTAGCAAAATCTGTTGTGCTGGAAAACTATGTGTCGTATTCCCTAATCTGCATTCCCTTGGGGTTAAAACATATATGTGAATTAAAAAAAAATATTATAAAATCATACGGATCTGATCTCTGATAGTGTAAAGCCAGAATGATTATGTTGATGGCTTTGTAAGCACGGTGAGAGGCACGGAAGGGAAAGGAGCCCAACATATTTCATGTCTGCTGCTCAAAGCACGTTGCTCTGAAGAAAACCAGTTCTCGAGGAGTTTGGGTGAGTGAGGGGGGAGAGCGGGGGGCTGCGCTTTGGGGGGAAATAACTAAACCGTCTGCAGTTCTATACTGGAATGTGTTTGATTTTATTACACTGCCAGAGCTTAAGCGAGCTGCATCGCCCAGTGTTTCTGAACTGCTCTGGTGTTTATTGACAATTACAATAAAAAATAAAGCCGATATTTAAATCCTGCCCGATTAGTGAAAACAGAAATGTTTGGGGGAAAGTCTGAATTAGTTCCACTTCGTAACAGAGTAAATAGCAGATTTCAGCCTTCATTTAAAACAAAAGGTAAATCTCATACCCAGAATCCAGTGTGTCTCAAAAAATCATTTCCTTGGAAGTATAAATTGGGATGCCGATGAAGTTTCAGAACAAAACGGGTATTTTTATACTTTGTTCATTTCATATTTATCACTAGCTTGTTTGCTAATTTTCATTTGCAAGAGGCAATTCTTCCAGCTAACTGGCTGCCTCAATGGGCCACTGATTTCTTTGAAGTGACAGTCTGTAAATATGCATAAAAAAGAGATGCAATTAGCGTGTGTGTGGTTCAGTGCAGCCTGATTTCATTGGCAAGTTTACCCACAGTGTTGATAAGCTACATTATCTAGAAAATTGGCCGCTGAAAAACAGCACCTCTGATTGCCAGCAAAGGTTCCAGATAACAGGGTGCTGAAGAGAAATATAATTGAGGTTGAATATGTTAACCAAGGTGTCACATGCTCCTTAGAAGCGCTAATTTATCAGCATGTTGGAATTTTTATTAACATTTGGAATGCATTTCTACCACACTAATGAAGTGGAATTGGCAGTTCAGGTTTTAGTTATTGTCATTTCTGAGAAGTTAAATGTAATTTCTCGTTAGACACAGTTATGTAAATATATTTGTTCAGGGGCTGAAAAAATTATACATTTCGCAAAATACAAATATGTTGTTAAGGAGGAGTATGACAAATCAGTCGCAGTTAAAGTCATAAAAGCCAGCCAAATGTTCGCCCTGCATTGTGCTTTCCGGAGCATCACTCATTTTTAGGGCACCTGAAGAAAATGAACTTAGCAGAGTTTTAATAAATGGTGTAGTCGCTCATTAACCTAAAAGAGGCGAGACAGGTAAATGTGCTGGGCTTTGTCAGGGTATTGCTTTAAGGGGAATTGCACTGGATGTGCTGTGCTTATCTTTGCCTCTCCTTTTTTGTGTGGAAAGTGTCAGGTGCCCAGAAGGGCACTGTCTTTTCTTTCCCCCATTTTTTTAACACATGGAAAGTCAGTCTGTTTTCAGTTTCTGGGCCGTACGCAAACTCACTGTGTGACATTACACTGTGAAGCGATGGGAAGAGACATCGGTAGAAGGATGACAGTTCCCAAGAGCTGTGACAAGACCTGGTTCAAGGCTCTTTCGGTTCCAATGCCATGCTTGTTATCTATGAAAAAAAATAATTGGTGATTACAAGTAACCTAAAAGTAAGGGGTACTGCTATGTGTACGCAGCATGTGCGTACTCATTTAAAGAAAACCACTCAGCCCACCCATCGGCAGCGAAAGGCAATCGGAAAGAAGCGCTACCAAAGTTTGCATCGTGACTTTCAGCGGAGGCAGAGCAGGTCTGACCTGAGCATCTCCTTTCTGCTATTCCAGTTTTCCTCCCGAATTAACACCTCGCACACCTTTAAGTGCCGCCTTTTCTTCAGGGGGAGAACCCCTTCCTAACCTCTTGGTGCGTGTGCTCGTTTGCAGGGGCATCGTCGATACGCCGCTCATCCGCTCCAAGGACCTGCGGCCGCTGGTGCGGCGCTGGCTGGCGGACATCCCCGCCGGCAGGCTGGCCCAGGCCACCGACCTGCAGGCTGCCGTCGTCTATTTGGCCTCCGAAGCCTCGGATTACATGACGGGCCATAATCTGGTCATCGAAGGTGGCCAGAGCCTGTGGTGAGGGGCATCTTCCAGCCTCCCCCCTCACAGATGCATTGGTCGCTTTGGAAAGCGCGTATTAGAGCTTAGCTTAGTCCCAGTTGTGGCCTGCGTGGCTAAGTGGCCAGCTAATATGAAATGATTGTTTTCTTCTTTCGGGTGTTGCTTTGGCGACTCTTATAATGAAAAAAAAAAAAAAGGGGAAAAAAAAAAAAGAGCAATCCTTCATTTTTAACATTTTCATGTTTTTCACTATGAATTCAGATTTCTGTTAAATTAGTATTTAATGATATAAAGGCACATTTACTGCAGTGAGATTTGGCTATTATTTAGTTTAACAGGGGGCATTTTTAAAGCAATCAATATTAGCTGGTCTGTGTAGTATATTGTTCTTAGGCGATTTTTTGTATTCAAGTTGTTCCAGTGACATCTGCGAGTGGTGAAAAACAGTTGGATGTAGTGTTAAAAAAAATAAATTAGTTCATTGCATTTGAACCTGAATGTTGCTGTTTTGTATTTACTGGTGTTCTTAGTTTTTGACAGTGTTTTTATACAAACACCCACATAAATGCCCCTGAAAGAAAAGTACTGCACTTAATAGAGAATCGTGGTTGGTAATTGTAATGGCTCTAATCCAAAGCCCATTGAGGTAAGTGAGGACTGCTCATATACTTTAAGTTAAACACATGTATAAGTGTTGATACAACTGGGTCTTTGTTTTCCTTGATAGGCAGATGTAAGCAAAAGTCGTCTTCCAAATGTATTTTTTTTTTTTCCCCCTCCTGTAAAATTCTGAAGACAACTCTCGGGTGTAAATCAGGGCCAGCTCAAATGGTATCAATACAGTTCTGTTGGCTGAAGAGCTCATTTCAGCAATAGCGCTGGGTTCGCTGCTTATAGGCAGTAAAACGTGGCACAATAACACCTCCGTTTTGATAACGCTCTGAATTTATACAGACTTCCATCCTGAGGGCCTTTAAGCATAACCTGAGGAGAATTTACGGGAAGGAATTCACTTGCAAATCCTCATGTCATTTGTTTTGCGTTTGGCAGCTCTTTGTTACCATAACATAAATAATTGTGGATGAATGTCATTACTTTGATTAAGTGCTACAAGTCCATACATTGGCTAGCCATTATTGTGGTGAATTGCTATAATGGCTTCAGACTTGACATTCACAGCCACATTGTAAGGTATGCATCTCGCTGACGTACTATCATCGTTATCGTGGATAAAGTGCAAGAAGATACTTGTCTTCATTAAATTTTCTATTAGACCATTGATAATTAATACATATCTCATGTTTCATCTCAAGTCGTTTTTCTGGGGAGTGTTGCTGTTAAGCGACTCAGGGCTAGAGCTTTTTGGCTTGAAATCCCTGCCTTGTGTGCATGATCTAATTTATTGACAATGCTCTGCAAACTCACAGGCTTAAGGAGAGCTCAATTTTGGATAAATCTTCAAGAAAAACAATTAAGGATTTAAACGTTTTATTATTTTTCTGGGCTCACAAAGCCTTTTCTCTCCGAGCTCCCACACTTGCATCATTTTGTGTCATGCTCTGGAGGGCTCGGTGGAGTTCTCACATCCCTCTGGCTGGCTTTTCACCCAGAGGTTAATGTGCAAACATTGGTGAACTCATCAGGAGCTCTTCCAAGGGATCCTAGAGGGGCTTGTATACTATCGCTTGTACTGCCGGTGAACAGTTTGTTGCAGCTCCTACCTAAAGTGTAAAATAACAAACTTGAGCTAATTTGAAACATGAACTGCAGTTGGCGCTGGAACCGTAACCAAAGTTCTCGCTTTCTCAGTAGAAAGACAAAGGGCCGAACAGGCTGCCGAGGCTGAACTCGGGTTCCCTGTCTGGCGGTGGTTGCAGGTTAGCACCCAAAGGCGCTGGCGGGGCATTGCAGGAACCTGAGGTTCATTGCCCTGGTGCCGGGTGTTTTGGGGAAGAAGATTTTCAGCCAGCAAGGGTCGTGCTGTGGCTTTCACAAGCTTCAAATTAGCTTTAAAAACAAAATCCAGACAGAAAAAAACACCCCAGACTTTAAAAAAAAACACCAAAACCCCAAAATGATCTCTTAACTAAGCAGTGTTTGGACTAGAGCTTGTCTGGCTGTGATCTGTTTGCCCCCAGGCTCTGCCTTTGAAGGGCTGAGCGGGCAGAGGAGTGAGTTTACCTGCGCAGGCTGATGTGGGGCTTGGACCCTGTTTGGAGCCACTGCCGTGTGCTCATGTGGATCCAGGCTCTGCCCCTTGTTGGCCCGGAGAGGCTGATGGAAGAGGCCGTTCTCATCGGTACTCTCTCCATGAGGCAGGAGGGGCTCAAGGCTAAGCTGCCCAAAGGAGTGCGGCACTCGGTGCCAAGTGCTCGGGGTGACAGGCGAACACCCTCACGGCACTTTTGGTTTGTGTGGCATCCTCACTTTGGCCAAAGAAACAAATCCTGGAGGACAGCAGCTGTCCCCACGCAATTGCGAGCTGGTCTGTGTCCTCTTAAGGACAGACCATACCCATGGCTTCATCCATCCAGGGGCTCCAGCAAAGGCATTGTGGCTCTTTGTGGTCTCACCTGTGATTTCCCGGGGGAAAAGGCAGATTTCCACTCGAAAGCAGGGCTGACCATGCAGCGGTGCTTCTGTCTGACGGGACCAAACTTCGCATTTGGGTTGGGATCTGTGCCTCGCTGCGTGGTGGCAGCTCCCCGGGCTCAGGGCTCCCTGCCTTGTGCAGAGGGGGAGCCTCACCGCTGCGGCCCTAAACCCCTAAAGAAAGTGGAAGCTGTGATTTCCCCTTATAAGGGAAAAGCAGAAGCTCAAGAGGGATGCAAGAAAAGCTTTCCCCCCGCTCTTAGCCCAGAAGACCTGGGTGGGGGGGAAGGAAACCTTTTGGAAAAAAGTGCTTTTCTGGGGAATGTGGGTGAAGCAGTGAAATGGCAGCATCGGTGTTTCGTGAGGGGGTTCAGGGCAGGCTCAGGCGTTTGGTGGGGTGGTGGTAGTGGCAGTGGTGGTGGTGGGGTGGCAGTAGAATGGGGGTGGTGGCGGTGCGGTGGGGTGATGGTGGTGGCAGTGGGGTGGCGGTGGTGATGGTGGTGGCAGTGGCGTAGCGGTGGTGGTGGTGGTGGTGCGGTGGCAGGCGGCGGCGCCGTTCCCGGCGGTACCTCTAGGAGGAAACCTCAACCTGTGTTGTGTCTGCGGGAGCCGCGCTTCCCCGCTCTGCCATTCAACTTTTATATTGTAGCTAAGTTAGTACTTTTGATATTTCTAAGTTTTTTTTTTTTTTTAAACATTTATGTAGAACACCACATAATTGCAGAAAAGATAATAGTCACATACCCTAGGGCTTGGTGTACACTTATGTTAAAAGTACAGCTTTTATTGGCAACTAAAGTAATAACCTTTCCATGTCAAATTGCTTTAAATTAAACTTAAAAAAAAAAATGCTGGCTGATACCCACACTTAGTAATTGTCAAACATTAGCATAATGTGGAATACTAAAGCTGCCTAAATCTTGGGTTTAAAAATAATTATTTACTTAGGTAAATTCTCTATTCAAAAGCATAATATTAGATTTTTTTAACACAGTCTCCTCGATGTATATGTTAAAATGCAGACTTAAGCTTGACATGGAAGCGGGGCTGAATGTTACTGTGGCCTCTGAGAGGAAAAAGGTGGATTTTATACCTTTAGCTTATCCATCCATTCATCATTAGTCACCCTGGAAGAAATGTGTTAGGGTGACATCACCGAAGGTGTAGGTGCTGTGGGTGACATCTGGTGACTCGAGACCAGTGACCTGGAATACCTGCTGATGGCACCCTGGAGTGCACACATGTTGGAGGGGGACATCTGGGAGACGGGTGTCCCAGCTACGTGGGTATGCAAAGCCAAGGGCAGCAGGTTGGTCAAGTGTTCCATACAGGTGCATTTTACTTATCTGTGTCTGCACATAACTGGAACAAATGTGGTGGTGACCATTCAAATTTCCAGTGCGAAGCAGGAGAGGAAACTGTGCATTGTGACACGTGGCTCTTGGGGCTCTCTGCTGCTCATGGACGAAACTGGACCTAACAGGTGCCATGAGGACATGAGTCCTCATGGTTTTCTGCTTTTTTGGGAGGCCCGGGCTCTGATGTGCCCTGCTGAGGACTTCCACCCCTCTGCTAGGGCTTCCCTGTAGAGTCCACCACAGCACTGTGAGTCCACCAGTTCTTCCTCAGAAACATGCTGATGTTTTGCCGGAAGTTCAGCAAAACCCATTTTGGGGTATTTTTTTTAAAAAATCAGCAGTTCCCTTAAGGCAAAAGGTTTTGTGGCAAATTCCTGCACCTTTGGCTAGCAAAATAGAAAGGGATTGCCTTTCCCACTCCTTTAGGTAGCAAGAAGCTCTGGGAGGCTCTTGCTGCCTTTCCGGCCAGCTGACGAAGGAACAGAAGGGAGCAGTAGCACCTGGGAACAAGAGGTTTATGATGTTCAAGAGACAGAATTAAACAGTTGTTGGGAGGGAAAACGCAGGGAGCCGAGGACTGAAAATTGGATACCTTTCCCAGCCTTGCTTAATACCATATGTGTTTTACACTGTGATTATAAATCTGATTATATATTAATTTCCACACTGTTTTAATTCTTTAAAGCAAGGAAGGAAAATACATGCTCTTCCTTGGAGAACCCCAATGCAGTCTTACAGCAGATGCCTTTTCACCAGAACAGGTTGAAATTCTTCAAAACTCTGAAATCACAGTGAGCATTTGCTGTTAGATTTTCACCTACTGGGTGTCTTTTCTCC